CGGTCGGAAGCAACAACCATCGAAACGACGCTTCAGCAGAGAGCCCGACAGTACAACCGCGACGTAGCCGGTGCATCCGCAGGAGTCTACTCAGCAGGCGTCGTGGATAATCTTGACACATTGCGCGAGCTCGTCCGGTCTGTTGTCAGGGAAGAATTAAGGAAACTGCAGTCACCTGATGTCACCCCCGAGCTGTCTCTTGCTGAAGTTGTCCGAGACGAAATTCGACAGGCCATGCGGGAGCCGCGGAGTGATGTGCCGGCGACACGACGGGCGGTAACGTACTCCGAGGTGCTCAGGCGACCTACTCTGCACTGTTCGCCGATCGAGACACCAAGTACTTATGTGCAGACAATGCGCAGCCCGCCTGAAATCGTAGAGGCAACACGCACTCCACCTCGTGCGAGAGAGATGATGCCACGGAAGAGCGATGTGTGGCGAGATGCCACACGTAGGCCCTTGTGTTTCCACTGTGGAGAGGCTGGCCACCTGTACCGATTCTGCCGATATCGTCAAGCTGGTCTTAGGGGATTCGCCATCAATGCACCGTGTCCGCGAAACGGCGAAAGACCTTCCGAGATTGAAGAATACCTATGCTCACGTCGGGAATTTGACCCGCCTCGTCGTCATCAACCACGCTCACCATCCCCTATGCGCTACCGCTCGTCTAGCCCACGTCCCTTCCCAAGCACGTCTAGGCAGCGTTCGCCTAGCCCAAATCCGGGAAACTGAAGAGGGCGACCTGTGGAGGCGAGGCCGCTGGCGACTTGGGATATGAAGATCCTCCACTGCGGTACGAGCCTGATAACGACGACTGTTTCCAGGTAAAGGAGTGCAGTACAGAGAAAATTACTTCAGACTTGCCGTTGGTGATTGACGGACTAGAGCTCAATGCTTTGATCGATACTGGTGCGGATTATTCTGTGATAAGTTACGAATTAGCGAAGCGACTCAAGAAAGTTCTGACCGAATGGGGTGGACCTCAAGTACGTACTGCAGGTGGTCACCTCATAACCCCTTCCGGCCGATGTACCGCAAGGGTCATGATACGGGGCTTCACTTACGTCGGTGACTTTGTCGTCCTGCCTGTGTGCTCGAGGGAAGTGATACTGGGAATGGATTTCCTACAAGCTAATGGTGCGATTATCAATTTACAGAGGTCGAGCGTGTCCTTTTCGACGGAGCAAGCTTTAAAGGTAGCACGATCAGATGAACGATGTACCACTCCACTGCGCGTCGTCGACGATGATGTGACTGTACCGCCACGGAGCAGTATAATGGTTCTCGTGCATAATGATGCATTCAGCGACTACGAGGGTGTGGCGGAGAGCAACGTGGATGTTTTCTTGAAAAGAGGCGTTTGTGTGGCACGAGGGATTATCCAGCTGCGAAACGGGTGCACAGACATCCTCTTGACGAATTTCGGTAACGAATTCCAGCACATCGCAAAAGGGACGGCAATAGCGTTTCTTCATGAGTTCTGTGAAGTGACAGAAATATGCAGTCTTGAAACGACGTCACCGAATGTGAAACTTCCATCTGATGCCTGCGACACAATATACGTAAATCCTAATCTTTCAGAGATTCAACGTCAACAGCTATACGACCTCGTGCGGGAATTTGGCAGCTGTTTCTCCAACAGTTCAAAGGTACGGCGCACGAGCATTACAAAACACAGGATCATAACGGACGAGACAACCAGGCCGGTATGCCAGCACCCGTATCGTGTTTCCCCTAAGGAAAGGGAAGTCATCAAGAAGCAGGTACGAGAAATGCTTGAAGATGATGTTATCCAGCCTTCTAACAGCCCGTGGTCATCTCCCGTGGTGCTTGTCAAGAAGAAGGATAACACGCTACGGTTTTGTGTCGACTACAGGAAACTGAATGCTGTGACTAAACGGGATGTATATCCCCTTCCACGCATCGACGACACGTTAGATCGACTTCGGTGTGCCAAGTTCTTCTCATCACTAGATCTGAAAAGTGGATACTGGCAGATCGAGGTTGATGAACGTGATCGCGAAAAGACTGCTTTTGTTACCCCGGACGGACTTTACGAATTTAAGGCTCTCCCGTTTGGTCTCTGTTGTGCGCCGGCAACGTTCCAACGCATGATGGACACTGTGCTTTCCGGATTGAAGTGGCAGTGTTGCCTAGTGTACCTAGACGACGTGGTCATCTTCGCGGCTACATTTGAGGAGCACATCAAGCGCCTTCGGTCAGTGTTAGAGGCAATCCGTTCGGCAGATTTGACAATCAAGCCAGAGAAGTGCCGATTAGCTTTCGAAGAGCTTCGTTTTCTTGGGCATGTCGTCAGCGCCCAAGGTGTTCGCCCTGATCCTGATAAGACGGCCGCCGTCGCAAGGTTTCCGGTGCCAACAGACAAAAAGTCAGTACGGAGATTTCTAGGTCTATGTGCGTACTATAGACGATTTGTGAGAAATTTTTCAAAGATCGCAGAACCCTTAACGAGACTTACGAGAGAAGATGTGCCTTTCCAGTGGCAAAACGAGCAACAAAGCGCCTTCAACGAATTGAGAAAGAGGTTAGAAAACCCCCCGATCCTTTCTCACTTTGATGAGACAGCCGACACGGAAATACACACAGATGCCAGTAACATCGGCCTTGGATGCGTTCTAATACAGTGGCAGAAAGGTGAAGAAAAAGTGATAGCTTATGCCAGTCGGACTCTAACAAAAGCAGAGACAAACTATTCGGCCACGGAAAAAGAATGCCTTGCCGTCGTCTGGGCCATCAGTAAATTTCGGCCGTACCTATATGGTAGACCATTCAAGGCAGTCAGCGATCACCATGCGCTTTGCTGGCTGGCGAACATAAAGGAACCATCTGGACGACTAGCAAGGTGGAGCCTCAGACTGCAAGAATACGATATAACAGTGGTATACCGATCTGGCAAAAAACATACCGATGCCGACTGTTTGTCACGGGCTCCTACAGACACACCACTATCAGAAGAAGACGACTTTCCGTTCGTAGGAATTGTCGAGACCACTCAAATAGCCGAACTCCAACGTACAGACAAAGAATTACTCCCGCTTATCGAACACCTGCAAGGAATTGACGTACAAGTACCCCGTATATTTTCTCGAAGCCTCGCATTGTTCTGCCTCCGAGGAAACGTTCTCTACAAGAGAAACTTCAAGCCCAACCGCGAAAAGTTCCTGCTTGTCGTTCCAGCAACTATGCGACAAGAAATACTTCGAGCGTGTCACGATGAGCCCACATCTGGACATTTGGGTGTGACGCGAACGCTTGCAAGGATCAGTCTCCATTATTATTGGCCCAAGCTACTAGCTTCAGTGCAACACTACGTCAAAACATGCCGCGAGTGCCAAAGACGAAAAACACCACGTTCTAAACCAGCGGGCCTTCTACAACCTATAGATCCACCGAAAGCGCCTTTCCGCCAAGTTGGAATGGACCTCCTTGGACCCTTCCCGACATCTTTACTCGGCAAGAAATGGATCGTTGTGGCCACTGATTATTTAACTAGATACGCCGAAACAGACTCTTTGGAACGAGGAACGGCAGCAGAAGTGGCCCAATTCTTCGTACACAAAATAGTCCTGCGACATGGCGCTCCAACGGTTGTAATCACCGATCGCGGAACGGCTTTCACGGCGCAACTTTTGAAGTGCCTGCTCAACATGACTCACACTGTTCATAGGAAAACCACTGCATATCATCCTCAATGCAATGGCCTGACCGAACGCCTTAACAGAACTTTAGCGGACATGATATCCATGTATGTGGATGTCGAGCACAAAAAGTGGGACGAAATTTTACCATACGTCACTTTCGCCTACAATACGGCTGTGCAAGAGACCACCAAAATCACCCCATTTGAACTAGTTTACGGTCGTGCTGTTACCACAACACTGGATGCTATGTTACCAATAGACCACGATGACTACCCCCCCGATCTTGACGACTTTCTACAAAGAGCGGAAGAAGCCCGCCAGTTAGCAAGATACCGAATACGCCACCAACACCGCATCGATGCCGACCGCTACAACCGAGGAAGACTTGACACGCGATATGACGTTGGCGACAAAGTGTGGATATGGACTCCAGTACGACGACGAGGCCTCTCCGAAAAACTCATTTCCCGGTATTTTGGCCCCTACGAGATCGTACAGCGACACAATGACCTCGTCTACGAAGTCAAGCCTGCAGGCCACCTGCATTCGAGGCGACGCAATCCCACGGAGCGTGTACACATTGTACGGATGAAACCGTACTACGACCGATTCCAAACCTAGCCACCCCAATACCTTGACGTACTGCAACCTCATTTTTACAAACTTGCACACACAAAAAAAAAAAAAAAAACAGCCTCATCGCAAGCATCGGGGCGATGCCGCTTGAGAGGGGGGATAATGCCACGAGGAATTGTTAAGGCGCAGTACAACGCAGACGTTGTTAAAAGAGGAACGCTGACGGCATCGCTACGACTCATGAAGCCCGCCGGAAGGCACGAGCCGGCCCAGCCTGTGCACGAGCTGCTACCGAGCAGCGGAAAAGAAGAGAAGAAGAGGACGACGAGCGTTCGCTGCTTTCTCCCAGCTACTGTGTAGTTCTTTTGGCTTTGGGCACAAGTTCGCCCTTATTAAACCTTGTAAATAGGACGTCCCGGTTGTGAGGTTGTTATATCCGTTACAATATACACAACTCCATACACAAATGAAACATCCACGGAAACATACACATCGAAACACAAGTGAACACTAGCGCTCCTTCACATCCCCACATGGTTCCCTTCAGTGGAAGGTCGTGTAACTGTTTTCTTATATGCACATGGGACCTTGTCAAACTGGCTGCTATGACTATCGTTTGCTACCTCCTTTAATGGCGAAAGGCATGGTTGTGCTGAGCTGTGACAGGTGTAGCATAAGTAGTTGAGGGAGAAGAGTCTTATTATAGCAACAAGTCCCACTGCTGTAATGATTCATGCTTAAGCACTCGGAAGTGACGCTCACCTCTTCCTGCATAGGAGAGTGCAAACGTGCAGCCCAAGCCCCATCGGTCTGTTCATCGCCGTCCACACTGCGCCAGAGATTGGCAGCTGGCAGGGTATTCGAAGATTGCGATGAATCCGGGTCTGTAGAAAGATAAAGCACGTTGACCTGCTGTTACTATATGCGGTGAACATAGTTACAGGGCGTCTTGAGAGGAATGTTGCACTAAATGAGTACTAACACAATTTTGAGCTATTTTGAAAAGGACATTTCGCATTTCATAGGCATCAACAAAGTTTCGCATCTTGTTTTCGCATTGCTTGTGAAGCTTGCTTTATAGGGGGGGGGGGGGGCACCAATTATTTGTTGGGGGGTAGTCATTGTGGTGAAACATGACTCTCTCTAATGAAAGACTCTGTGGGCACCTGTGTAGACAGATGACGCGAAGGAATCATACTCTGCAAAATGCTCTAATATGTCACACAGAAATAGGGAGCTATACAAGGATTACTTTTCAAAAAAACTTGCATCAGATTTTTATTAAAAGATGCATGCTCAACAAACCTTATGCAAACAGCTCAGATACACTAATTATTTATCTTAATGATGTCCTCCACCTCAAGATTGTTTGCACCTAACAAACACAACTGGTGCAAATTATGTAGAATAATTAGGCTTTGCAAATACCAAATCCAAGTTGTGTTCATATGATGTGCCTTCATTTGAGAAGTAAATCTTGGGAGCTTTGCACAGTAACACAGAGATGTCTTTCTGAGAATCAGTGCAGTGGGAGACACCAGATTAGTTTTGATTTTAGCATTCTCCAGCATTTAGCATTCTCCTTAGCTGAAGCACATAATCACCTCTGCATTTTCCCCCTTTGATAAAAGTTCATCAGCATCTGCCACGATAAACTGTTAGCTATTTTTCCAACACCATAAGCACTCTTCATTTCTGTTTATATAAACAGGCTTGCAGATTTTATTCGTAGCGATTCCTGCACTGTATTGACAACACACAAATGAGCGAGGCTAAACAAAATTTTTTGCATTCTTGTGACTCTGATGTTAGTCACATGCACTGTACTCTGAAAAATAAAGAAAATACATGCATTAGACATGGCAATCACACATTATAATTTTACATTTCTTTCAAGCATCATACAACTCCCACGACCAAATCATCTGAAGTAGTCTTGTAGTTAAACATTAAAATGTCAAAAAAACAGGCGATATTCTTTTTTTCACTGTGCATTACTTGTGTAACATTACTGATACAATTTTCAAGACCTCTAAATATGCCACAACAAAATAATTTAAATCTGGTTTAGCCACCTTGTAAGAGTATTTTCAAAGCAACCTATGTTAAAATTGAGATGTTAATCATGCTATAATACTGATGAAAAAAGACGTTTGCAAAGATACCCCACATGCGATAACAAGTATTGACGCAACCAGACAAACTGGGGGTCGGCGAAGTTCGTTCCAAGCTCCTCATGGCTTACATACACAACCACCACTTATGAAAACGAGACAGATAAAAGTGTAACACCGCAAGCCAGCCGTTTGCGTCAACACTAGTCAGTTCCCCTAGTGACTATAAACATAATCCAGGTGGCACTTCTCAGGGTGGGATTATTGATAAAGACTTATCTTAAACAGCTGAAGCGCAAAAAAGGTAACAACGGACAAAGAGAACGAGAACTTATCAGTTCTTTCTATTTGTGCATGGATAAGCTACATAGTAGAGCTGTATGTAACGATGATTCACAACAAGATCAAAATTTGGAACAGAAGTGGTACAGTGCCTGAAACCAAGACATTCGGCAGAGTTTCGTACGTTGCATGTCGATAAATAGAGCAAAACGAACTCGTCACGCAGCTGTTTCCTTTCTGCATCTGTTTAATATACTGTGAAATTAAAGCACTGCTAAGTAGTTTCTTATTCACCATTGCGAAACATGGCAGCAGAACTTTAAACCAAAGGGCTGAATAAAATAGCACTAAAGAGTGATGAGTAGGAGATGTTGCTTCCTATTCTTCTTTTAATAAAAATTATTTACTTATCATGCTTACGTGTGTTCCTTTATCATCCAATAAGTTGCTGCGCCACAACATTTACTGAAACATCATTGTATGTAAGGGTGTCTTAGACGGTTACTTGGTACACAATATTGTGAGGAAACAGAGCGAAAATGAGATGAAGGCGTAGAAACAAGCTGACGCACTGTGTGCAAGTTCATTGAAACAGAAAATATGATAACAATAAGAATAATAACCAAACAGAAACTGTCACATGGTCACAACGATGAAATTGCAATGGACGTCTGCCCTGCCTCAAAATGGCATGCTTAATATGAAACAAACACTATCACTTTTTCAAAAACTGCAATAGAGGGGTCGCGGGTGCATGTGTTCTCTTTTTCATCTCAAACGCTTCATAGATTCCACGCTGTGCTCTGCTCTTTAATCACTGGGATCCTCTCTTAATATTGAAATCGGATCGAAGACAACATCTTTGAAGCACTCGAGATAAGAAAAAGAAAACACGTGCACCAGTCAGCCCTTAATCACGCATTTTGAAAAGGAGTTGGGCAGACATTTGTTGCACACATTATCATCACTCTGACTGTATCAGAGTTTATTAGGAATGGGTGAATAGTGATTTGTTCGATTAACTTTAAATCAAAAAGTTAGTTCAAATAATATATATTACATAATATTAAAAAAATGAGCATTTTTATTATGACCCAACTATAGATTGCACAATAACTTCAAGAATTGGAACTAGACATGAGTGAATGTCACTTTCTGGCGAAATTTTTAGCACTGATTTTTTGTTGCAGTAAACTTGCACATACAAGTTGTTTGTCTGTTTGACTTTGTCTCATTTTTTGCACTGTTTGCTCACAGTATTGTATGCAAGTTGTCGAATCAAGTAGGAAATGCATTATAGTGTTGCCTGTATACATAGCTTATATTACTTTTGTATAGATTAAAAAAGAGAGTGAAAATTGAACAGATGCACGCTGTAAATGACGCATTATCACAAAAAGCATTCCAATGTTAATGAAAAAAAAACGACATAGCTCAGATTTCATGAAGACACACTGAGATAGCATAACTACCTATGCTATAAAATCTTGTCTTGCCCTTAGGTCAGACAATCTAAACCAAAAAAAAAAAAAAAATTTTAAATGCTTGTAGATGAGCCAGTGTCCCCTATCCAACTATCCCTGCCCACTGATGCTGCCATCTTCAAGCAAGATCATCTTGCCAATGCATGCACAGCACAAAAGTGCTCAAAGTCACATTATACTTTTTTTTTTTGCCTGCAAATGCCCTTACGACTGCTTAGCTGTAAGCAGCATTGTAGGGTGAAATGCTGATGAATTATGTGCAGCATTAAATCAATATTTTATCTTGCATTAAAACCAAATTTTATCTATCCTTCCATCCCTGCTATGTTGGAATATGGGATGCAACGCTTTACTGCATCAGATACATCGACAGACATGGGCAGGAAGGGCTGCCCCTCGTGATCCTCTAAGAGTCTGACTTGACTGTTTAAAGTCAAGCCAAGTCTTACTTGACTGTTTAATGCACAAGGCTTTGACCATGCAAATTATAACGATTCCAAAAACTGTTTACTTTTTTTCCTCTAAGTTCCCCTTAAGGACACTAAGGAGCAACATGATTTTTCTCGTATTAGTCAAGTACCAATTCCCAATCCCGAAAACACTACTTTTGTCACAACATGACACTTGGTTCGTGAGAAAACATGCAAAAATAAAGTGCGGGTGGAGACACCCCCCTTGAGATTCCCGCACCAAACACAGTGACGTCATAGATTTTGAAGGTGTATACCAGGTTCTACGTAGGTTCTAATCGATAAAAATGAAGTACATTGTCATATGTGGGTGCCATAGCCCTTGCATACGAAGTTTGAGAAAGTTTCATACAGTGAATGTCACGAAAATATGAAAAATACACTGTGAAAATTTTTTACGTCATACATGTAGATTTTGCATGAAATTTAGAAATGAAACTTTAACCTTAATTTCCCCCTGCTGATAAAAACTTATGACAGTGAAACATATGGCTTAGGGTACTCAGAGTGCAGCTTGTATATCTAAACCAAGTCATTGTTTCTCTTTAACATTCATTTAAATTCCAGAAAGCCGGAGACCAAAAACTGGCAGTTGTCAGTATCACGTGATCACTTTTTATTTTTGCGTTGCTTGCGGAGCTTACTTTATTCGGGGCCGTTCAACAACTAGGGGCGGGGGGTCACTGTAGTGGAACATGATTCCCCCCTAATGGAGGACCCTGTGTGCGCCTGCATTGACAGATGACACAATGAAGAATTCATATTCTGCTAAATGGTCTAATAATGGATGAAGAGCTGTATAAGAATAACGTTTCTCAAGAAGCCTAGTACCTAGATTTTCATTAAAAGTTGTATGTTCAACACACTATATGCAAACACAATAGGTGCACCAATAATCTGTCTCAACAACTTCCTCCACCTCGATATTGTTTGCACCTATCAGACAAAAATTGGTGGAAATTATGTAGACTCCTTTGGCTTTGTATATAACACACTACGTCCAAGCTGTATTCACATGATGTACTTTCATTTGAGAATTAAGGCTTGAGAGTTTTGTGCCGAAACGCCGTAATGCGGTTCTGAGGCACACTGCAGTGGATTCTGTAAAAAGATTTTTCGTCCCAGAACAATGATCGCCATCTGGCTTATTTGCACTACTTTTCTTGAAAATGCGGCGCAGGCCACTTTCCTGTCAAGAATGCGACGCCACGCTGATATGTCGTTCTTGCCCTAAATGTACCAGGCATGTGACAGTAATGCAAAGAAACAGATGCAAGATTGATTGATTATTGTTGTGGGACAAAACAACGCCCTGTTCACTCGAATCTTTTCTTACAGTGTAGGGGACACCAGATTAGTTTTGGCCCCTTGATGTTATTTAGCATTTACCAAAGTTGAAGCACATAGTCACCTCTGCATTTTCCACCTTTGATAAGTGTTTAAATCATCTGTCCACGATAAACTATTTGCTATTTCTCAAACACAATAAGCACTCTTAATTTCTGTTTATATAAAAAAGCTTGCAGATTCTAATCATGGCAATTTCAGCACTGTATTGACAAAACACACGTGAGCGACCCTAAAGAAAATGTCTTGCATTCTTCCGACACTACTGTAACTTGCATCCGCCAAACTCTGAAAAATAAAGAAAATACATAAACAAGGCATTGCAACCCTACATGATATTTCAAATTCTCTTTGCACGTCATACAACTCTAACAGTCATATTTTCTGAATTTCTTTTGTATTTAAATGTTTCAGGTGATATTCTTTCTTTCACTACATGTTACTCTACTCATGCAATGTTCAAGGCCTCTGAATATGCACTTTCTAAAGCAAAATAAATTGCAGATGGCAGGGGTGGATCTAGCTATTCATTTTAGGGGGGGAGGGGGGCGGTCACCTAAAGTAACACCAGAGAGGGGCGCGTGGTCATGACTTTTTTTTTTTTTACAAGCACAAAAACTTTATGGCGTAAATACTGTTAGTGTGTGATCACAGTGGTTTCACTAATTTGTCCTAATTGGCGATAGGAGGTCGACTACGAGCATTGAATTGAGTGGAAGGGGCGTTGACAGATTTGGGGAGAGGGGAGATCACACCTACCGCCCCACGCCCCTCTGGATCCACCAATGACAAATGGTTTAGCTATTTTGAAAGACTAGTTGGAAAGCGACCTCCGTTAAAATTAAGATTTATGCTATAACGGTGATTAACAGAAAAGTTTGCAAAGGTAACCTTGAACCACAAATGTGATAACACAAATTGAGGCGTCCAGACAAAGTGGCGGTCAGTTAACTTCGTTCCCAACTCGTCATAGTTTACATAAAGGATCATCACTAATGAAAATGGGAACATAAAAGGGTAGCATTGCTAATCAGTCATTTGCGTCAACACTAGTCAGATCCCATACTGACGAGACAGGTAACTTAGGTGGCACGGCCTCGGGGAGGGATTATTAATGAAGAAAATCACTTATCTATTTCCCCTACCTGTGTGCAGATAGTCTACATAGCACAGTTGTACGTAACGATGACTGACAAGAAGATATAAATTAGGAGCACAGGTGACACAGTTCACGACACCAAGACATTCAACCGCGTTTCGTAGGTTTCGCGTCTATAAATACCGCAAAATGGACTTGTAACGTTACGCATACTTAAAAGAAACTCCAAAAACTGAACTTATAAAGACAACAATCTATAAAAAAACTGGGCAAGGCGAAAAAGTCACAGCATTTGATATTCCGAGCGCTCAACAGCTGAGCACAAACGTCACATAGTTTTTTTTTCTTTCGGCGCAGTGGCGATACTGTGGGCACAACAGACGCGTTGACGCTGACATCGCTGAATAAAACACCGGAACAGACGCGACACATTCGGTGAAAAAAAAAAAGGACGTTTCTCGTAAAGAAACAAACCACACAGGTCACACGGCGACCAAATAAACTGCATGAACGCCGCCATTTCTTTTGCGCGTGATGCCAAGCGCGATGCATTAGACCAGGTTGGAGTGAGCCATTACTTTCGGCGAAGAAGCTTCGCACTTGCCTTTTTGCCTCACCCATGCCTCACTTTAGAGCAGGTCTTACGCATCGCTTTTAGCATCACGCGTCAAGATGGCAGCGCCCACGCTGCTGGTTTCGTGCGTCGTTTTATCTGTGTGCTGTGGTAGCTTACGAACGTCGTTTTCGTTTCAGTGAGTGTGTCGCATCTCCACTGTTTAATGACAGAGCCAGCGCGTCAGTTGCGCCCGTGAATCTGCTACACCAGTGAAAAAAACTCCGCGCGTTCGAAGAGATCCCTGTGCTTTCGTGTCCTTCTTGTCTCTGTGTCGCCGTTTTGTTCTCGCGCTACAACTATCGTCAGCTGTGACGCCACACCAAATGTTGCGATCCTCTCGCCTTGGCCCAGTTTGTGTTCGTCGCCAACATGCCGTCTTTATTTGTTACATGAATATTTTTGTGGCTGTTCGACGTTTACAGAACGTCACATGTCCGATTTGCCGTGTTTGTTGGCAAGCGAACTGATATCAAAGAAAACGCAGTGCAGATTGGCTTGGGTTTCGTGAACTGTGTCAGCAGTTGTTCCTTATTTCGATCTTGTTGGGAAAAATGAGGAACCCTGTCTCTGTTTTGGCATATTAGCCGCACACCGGCTGCTGGTATTGATAGGCAGTCTCATTCATTAATAATCCCACTTTGGAGCCCTGCTTTCCCGAATCTCGTTTTTATTACGGATACCGACTGGCAATGAACGTAAACGATGGTTTTGCGAGGCTATTCATACCAGCATCAACCGTTTCATGCTTTAGTATCGAATGCCATTTGCACGGTGTCACACGGACAAGTCAACTGGCATTCGCCTTAATGCTATTTCTATAATAATGCCAATAATAATAGTTGGGGTTTAACGTCCCGAAACCACCATATGATTATGTGAGATCCCGTAGTGGGGTGCTCCGGGAATTTCAAACACGTGGGATTCTTTAACGTGCACCTAAATCTAAGCACATGGGCCTCAACCATTTTCGCCGCCATTGAAAATGAGGCCGCCACGGCCGGGATTCGATCCCGCGACCTGCGGGTCAGCAGCCGAGTGCCTTGGTCACTTAGACCACCGCGGCGGGTTGAATGCTATTTCTCACCTAATGTCTTCGCAAGAACCAATTCGTCTGAGAACATGTACCCCCGAGAGTAAAACTTGCTCACTGCAGTACACTTAACATATTCGATATAACATTCATGTCACAAATATTTTCACGTGACTTTTAACAAGTGGCATGTTAGTGAACAGTTCACTTCTGAACTGCAACGATCTCGACATGATCTGCGGGATTCTTGGCTTTAGATTCAAGTGGCAATGACAGAAGTTGCTGTAATCAGTTGCAGAGCTGCAAAAAACAACAGATAGTGTCCTTTTTTTTTTTTGCATTTCACTAACCATAAATGCAGGTTTTATCACTGCCCACACACTGCTTATTTCAAAAGTCACTGTTATCAACATCAAACAGCTGCCATTCAGAACTTATTGCGTTAACTATTGAATGTTGTTTATCGTGCCTGTGTGGCAGTGGTATTATACTTTCAGTTGTTGCATTGTCATAAGTGGGGATCGTGCATGTGAGTAGCTGTTAGTGAAATTCATTGCATTAATACATTTTGTGACATCTGTGGTTAAACATTGCCTTTAAGCATGTCTCTAACGATCATTTTCAAAGCACCAAGAACTTTTCATTGTAGAGTCTTATTTGTTTATAATCTCCCACTTCAGTTGGGGTTATCTTGCAGAAGTAAGGTCCAGCAGAAACAACTTCCGATTGAATAAATTGCACTGATATTTAATTACAAGAGAACATGGCCGTCCCTCAACCTCATCGCATGGTCGTTGAAGTTGTAGGATATGTTCAGATATGATGGAAGTTGTAATGTGTGTGTGAAATTCCTAATGATTGTGCTTTCTTTGTTTTTCAGAATGTGGTGAATGTCACTTGCTGCACCTTTCAGAAAAAACAACACTGCATGGTCACAAACAGAACTGCAAGTTTGTTTTTGTCAAGAAAAAAGAAGAGCTTCTTAGAATTGTGAAAAAAACAGCTAATAGTTTGTCAATGCAGATGCTGATGCTTTGGTATCTGCTCAACAAGACTGCCCAAATTTAACTTTTTCAATATGAAAAGTTCGCTTAAAGATTCTCAGAACTTTGGAAGAATAAAAAACATAAAGAAGTCTAATTCCAAAGCTGTCATGGCTTTTCCAACTGAAGCCCCAAAACCTGATTCTCAAATACGATACAGCTATATGAGATGAGCACAGCTTAGAATCGTGGCTTAGCTAAGCCAGAGTGTATGTACTACATCATTTGTACTGATTGTATTTTTTAAGTGCAAGCAATCTGAACGTAGAAGTTTTTCAAGCAGGTGATTGGTGCAACTGAGATGCTTGCATATAATGTGCTGAGGGTGCAACTTTTAATGAGAAATTTTTCCATGGTGTGTTTTGAAAGACCTTGTTCATATACCTTGGGCCACATTAGTCTACCCTGCTGTCTATTAATTATGTTTTCCGTCAGTGTACTTGCTGATTTAAAGTGAATGCATACCATGTTTCAACATACACATGGAAAAATATCTAAAGTTCTTTGTTACATGAGAAGTTATATTCATGTAACACTGTACATGGTTCAGAAGCATTTTGCCCTTGTAGTCTGCTTACTTCTTAGTAAGTATAGGGGCCCCAAGCCTCTAGTAATGTATTTAAAACAACCCCTTCTTGGTTTCAGCAACATGATACTCACAGGATCATTAACATTCAAAAGTATTGAACCTTAGGTCAGCAGAAGTGCACTTATTAGGAGGTACAAAACTCGGATGCTCTTCAGTGAAGTATTTTCGGTTGTGCGCACTCTTATACCAATGCTCTTGTCATCGCCGGAAAACACCTGTGAAATGTATGCTTAGGAATGATGCTCAGTTAGGCCATCTCATTCCCCATAATGTCTTCTGTCGACTTCAATCAGGTTCTTTTAGTAGCACTTTCAGCTTGGGGAATATATGAAAGCTACCTGGAGCTATGTGGGAGGAAGCCTGATATATCAGAGGAATGTTTTATAGATTGAGTTACTTCTGCTCTGTTAGTTAGCAGTTGTACAAGTTATACAGACTCTTTCCTCGAACCAAATACCCACTCAAATTTGAGTGTAATGATTTAATGCTTTCCGCTGTCTCATTCATGAGTTCTCCGGCTGTATTGCGACAGTTCTCTGTGAACAGAGACCGTCCTTTCTCAATTACACTCTCGTTTTGGCCTATTGAGGGCCTGCCTGAGTGTAGCTTGCTGTTCACTATGTATAACATAACCTAATGACAAAGATGAACAAGTTCTTTATCAGACAGAGCAGTCAGCACAGTGCCCATGTACTATCGCTTATCTTCGTAGTGCAAAAAAAGAGATCACTCGGATTGAAGCTGCCAGTTTGACCATACAGATGCAGCATCAGTTTTGATCTGTCTGCTAGAAGACTTTTTTTATATTGCATTCCTACCATCTCTGTCAGTCTTCCTACTTCTCATCTGCCTTGCACAATGTATTGATTTCACATAGTTTCGTTCTCTTTACACAAACAAGGCCATGGTGCTTATGCTGAATTGTTTTTTTTTGTTTTTACACACAAAAATGCGCAATGCGATTTTAGATGGTCAAATAGTGTGCTTGAATTTTTTAAATTCTGAGAAGCACCGTATAGTGATTAAAGAGGGCTCACATTCGTCTTCAAGCTTAGAGGCCCTGCACTGCTTTTTACATAGACGGCCTAATTTCTGTCCTTGAACTCGAAGCTAAATTTGGTGGCATTCTATGCAATCTCATCAGGTCTTTATAAAAATGTGAACCGTTGTCACTTCCTTTCAATAATTGTTTGTTACCTCTTCTCTGCCAGTGTGCCATTTGCATGATGCATGCGTCTTTTACTCACTTCTTTTTTTTTTTAAAGAAAGACAGCATAACTTGTTGACACTCATGAGTAACTGCCGTAACCTGTCTTACACTTAGTTTAGTAACTCTCATATAGATTTACTTCGATAAACTTTTTATCGGGGTCGATTAGCCTATGACTAGGAAATACATGTTATCATTACAGGGCAGTATATATTTATATTATAAGGCATAGAAAGCAGGACACCAGCACTCAACCTGTTGCTTGTTACTTCATAAAATTCATTGTACTTTGTTGCATTGTTCTGTATTTTCTAATGATGCTTCACTCCACCAGTTGGTTGTACTACTGTGATGCAGTTTCTCATACAAAAACTGTACATACAATGGCAAGCCAGTCCTAAATTTTAGTTACTTTAATTACCTGCTTCATTTATTCAGAGGAAAATGTTAATTGCCGATAAAGAAAGTGATAGCCTAGGTGTATTGTAATTGCATTGTATACTCTACCACAGCAAAATAAACTCATAAGTTTTCTAGTAAACTTTCATGTCTTGGTTGCTTTTGCTTATAGAAAATTCTGATGGCACGCTAGTTATACTCTTTTGGCTTTTCGCAAAACTTTGAAGTTATATTTCACAAAATGTTAATTATAGCATATGAGAGTACAAGCCTATTGTGCTTCAGTGCGACCAAAGAAACTTGAATAGTTTATGCATCTAACTGCACGACATCATTTTAGATATGCATGATACATAGTTGAAAAATGTTCACTGTTGCCATGTCCAACAGGGTAGACGTAGGGCGCTCTTTTTGGCCGAGTTTATCTGCTCTCTCAGTGAATACATTTGTGAACATTTAGTGTACAGGTCAACACCAGAGGTGGCTTGCATAAGAAGATATGAAAGCTTTGGTGCTCATGTCGTTTATCTTTCATTTTTGTGCCCACATGGGCTTATAAGATATCTTGTGTTAATTAAAATGTACCTTTCCAGTGAGTCTCAACTCCTGTCTGCCAGTAAAGTTTAATACAGCTTTCGTTTAGAGTCTCCATTACTGCATGCACCATGGGTAGTAAAAGCCAGCCAACATGCTTTACGTTTCTGCAGACTCGGATGCAACGCAGTCTTCAGATGCCTTGCTGCCAGGCAATCCCTGGCACTCACTGGATTTTGATGGCATGTGTGGTGGGGTGGCCGCTGCACGTGCACCCGCTTCTCAGAGGAAAGAACAAAGAGTGAGCATCAGTTTTCAGTGCCCGTGCATGGAATATTAGCAACAGCAGCAGTAGTTTGATGCCATCGCACACACCCATGGGTATTCGCGTGCAACCAGGTAGTTTTACAAGGGAAATCTTAAATGTTAATGTGGATTTTTGAAAGAATGAAAGAAGTAATTATGAAATCAAATTCAAAATATCAAAGACGCAGTAATAAACAAGAGCACATAAATGTTGAGGCAGAAATATAAATTGATTTTATAATCTAAATTTCTGATCCTTTGAAGGAACACTTATATGTAGGAAAATTAAGTTGGTTTAGATTGACAAACTGCACTTAGAGAACTCCAATGCTATATGTTTTACTATCATAACTTCATTATTAATAGAGAAAATCAAGGTTAAAGTTTCATGCCAAAATGCGCATGAGATGGAAAACTTCAAAATGTATTTTCGGAATTTTTGCGGCATTGGCTTGATAAAATTTCCTCAAACATTGTATGCCAACCCTAAGGCGCCCATAGATTACAATATACTTCATTTTCATCAATTGGAAGCAACGTAGGACTCTGTAAATGCCTTCGAAGTTTCTTACATCACGGTGTTTGGGGTGATGATCTCAAGGTGGCGTTGCCACCTGCATTTTCTTTTTGCGCATTTTCTCACTTGCTAAGCGTCTTGTCGCGGCAAGAGTGGTGTTCTCTGGGTTGTGAAATGGTACTTTACTAATACGCGAAAAATTGTTTTGCTCTTTAGTGTCCCTTCAATGTCCTTTTAAAAAACTCCTGCAGGGCATCAGAAAGCTTCACTCCACCATGGCCAAGGAACAACATCCCAAACGATAGTATAGTATTGCAGCAGTGTGAAACTCGCCATCATAGCAACACTTCTCATTCTCAGCTTGCGCAACATATATGGCAGCTCAGCTTAGCCATATCTCTAGCCATAGAAGGAGGTAGCTAGTATTAAACGAAAAGAACCTGTTCAATTTGAAGATTATGAAGTCCCAAATGTGTAAAAAAGCAAAGGGTAGAGGATGCTTACATAATCAGTGGTACTACAAATGCCAAGACATTTCAATAAAAATTCATGTTTAGTGTGATAACTCAAGCATATTTCTGCAAATAAAGGTCGCCTGTGAAGAAACGAAATGTTGAATTCAAGTTAAGGTAGGTACATTGAGCAAGATGTTTATCATATGATGGGATTTTTCTAATGTGGAGGAAATCGCTGGCAGTTTGGTTCAGTACTGTGTTTTATTTACATAAGAGCTACAAGTAAAATGAACATTATAACTCATTGTCACACTAAAAAAAAAGAATTGTATTGGCATCTTTCTTGGTGTTCGCTCGTTGACAATGCTGGTTTTTCACTCACAAACAATGCATTGACACCAAAATTTTCAAAAAATGAGTTTGTTAACATAATCGCAGTAATATTGAAAGTGATATAAATTACCAGTAATACTTGCTTCTGGGATTGTTAATCGATGTCAAATGGTACGTATTAGTACAAACAAAGATTTGAGAAAGACTCGACTCTCAGTTTTTGCAAGCATTCAGCCTGTGAACGCCTATAAATACGGAGTTCACACTTATGCAAAGCACTTGTTCTTTCTTTGCGGCCTTTCTTTTTCCTGTCTATTCCAGTCCCCAGCGCTCTGTAATGAATTGCCACCTGGGTCAAAGTTGAGCTCTTTTGAACTGTTATCATTATTGATTCCTACCCATGGCATTACATTCACTCTTATGCCTTAGTATCCTAGCAGACTGCAGCTAACCTCGGTCTCCACTTTGCAGCCTGTGGTTACTAGGAACCACCGCAGTGCAGTACCCCGCCTTTTGGTGCGTCCCTTTCGGTGCCAGTACTGTCCGGTGGGCTTTGCTAGCGAGTTTGACCTGGGGAGACACGAACGCACTCACACAGGAGAGCGGCCCTTCTTCTGCACGCACTGCTCTGCGTCCTTTTCTCGCAAGGACCACCTGGTAGTTCACCTGCGTCGTCATACTGGTGAGCGCCCCTTCAAGTGTGGCCGCTGCACTAAGGCTTTTGCCAGGACCGACCACTTGCGGCAACACGTCCGGAACCACCACCCTTGATGCACTCCGTTCATCCACACTCACCAAGGTGTTTAAAGCACAATGACCTGCTCAGTGATTATGAGAACGATGCTGAAGCTTGCAGCAGGTGTTGCTATGTGTGATGTGCCCGTTGTGATGCAATGCAGGTGTTTGACCTACCTGGTACTCTAAGTATTGGACGTCACTGGACGTCTACTACACAGTGTCAATTGTACCAGTGGCGGTTGTGTGTGCTGTGACTAAGCAACATTTTATTGGCCTGTGTTTCAATTATGAAATCAAATACTGTGCCTTGCTTTTCAGTTTCAACAAATGAATCCTATGGAAATGTTACTGGTAACGATAACTGATACTGATAACGAGTGGGAAAACCTTTTTACTATTCAGCTTACAAGAAGCTGCAGGGAAAACTTTGGTCATTTGATGGATATGGTGTATTACAGAGCATTCTCATTTGTCACACAAGGTCGAAGCAAGTGTGCGTGGTGGTCTTGTGATTATGGTGCTTGGCCACCAACCT